GTAATAATTGTGTTAGATCTGATCCATCTGTAGTATTCAATGATGTTGCGCCTGTTAATGGTGTATCTGGTAATGAACTAATATCACCACTACGTCTTATAATTGATGTTTGAGGAGCTGCCATTGGATTGGTATGCTTTTCTTCTGTTGAACGAGCAGATGTATCTAATGATGGTGATGTTTTTTCCTCAAATACTGGTGTTACATTATGACATAAAGCTAATGCTTTAACAGCTTCAGGAACTTTAGTTGCTTCCGTTTTTTTAACAACATTACGTGTTTTACCAGATGGTAATGCTGATGCAGTCGATGATTGACTTTCATGTATAGGTGTTGTTGATGTTTTAAATTGTTGTTTAAGTAAATTTGATACTTCAGTTTGATTTTCATTTGTATATGATACGGTACCTAAATGTATACGTTTAAAAATCATTAAATTTTGTGTTAATGTTCCTGTTTTATCCGATAAAAGATAACCAATTCGTCCTAATTCTTCAGGTATAGTACTGGTACGTACAACAGTATCAGGAATATTTTTATCTCGTTGTATAAACCAAGCATAAACTGTTTTGCCCATATCAAGATTAACACGAAGACTTATTGGTATCATATATGAGAATAAAAGAAAAAAACGTACTAAATATCTATACCATGGACCACGAAAACCTTTTAATATTAGCATAACCACAGATAAAAGAACAAGGGCAGCAAATAATAATTTTGTTAATGTATTTATTTCAATATCAAGTAAACCAGCTTTGGATCGTGGTTTACTTGTATTCATAACCATACGTGTATCAGATCCAGTATATACAACACAACATACAACTTCACCTGTTGCAACAACAGTACCAGACCATAGAACATTTTCAACTGTTAATGGTTCATCTTGTTTCCATGATATAATACCATTGAATTCATGTATACTTAAACTAGGAGGTTCAGCATGAATTTTAGCTGTTGCACTTGTTTCAGATATTAAAACAGATAAATCTTCAAGGGATTGTGTCATTGGAGCAGCTATACGTAATTTCCAATCAGTTTCACCATCTAATTGATCAGTACGAATAAAACAAGTACCTAAACATATATATATTTATAACTACAATTTTACTTTTTTTTTTTTCTCGAAAGGATATAGTTAACGGAAATCAGAAGACTATCAGTACTCTCCAGAGATTTTCGAAACATAGAAAAGAACAAAAAAACATCTAATGGTAATTATAATTCTCATTTCAGTAAAGATCTATGATCAAAATTTATATATCTAGAGAATAAAAACTATTTTTCTCTGTTGCTCATATAGCAATCATTTACTTCCGGTTTTGCATTGAAATTGATTCCGTTTTTGTATATACAAAAAGCAAAACTAGGAAATAGGTTTCAATTAAATTAACAAAGAGTAACATAGTCTTTCAGCTGCCTAACATAACATGCAACAAAATTAATTTCATGAATGTTTTAAATTATCAACTTTACACTTAGTAAAACAAAATATTTTAATGAAGAAATCTCAAAGTATAATTTACCTGACTTATCAGATGTTTGTAAAAGAACAACATCAGCTGGTACACGTTGATTTTTTTGTATTATAATAACATCTGATACTTGTAATTGTGAACTTGGAACTTTTTTTCTTCGTCCATTAGCACATAATAATGTATACATTTGTGAATTAAGTTCTTTATCTCGATATGCACGTTTAATATCATCATAAGCTTCACGTAACATAGTTACAAATAAAACAAAAGCTAGTGGACCCCAATATGTATATAGATAACCAACACGAAACATAGGAATAAATTGTGTACATGCCATAACAAGAAAATAAAGATTAAGAAAAAAACGAAATTGTTCAAAAAGAACAAGTGGAATGAATGTTAAAATATTATATTTTTGATTTCGAATGACATTTTTTGGATACCAAATGGAATTAAGATCACGTCGACTGATCATAATATTACGTGGTTGAGTTTTATGTGCTTTATTACGACATATAGATAAAATTGATGAACATGATATACCCATTGTAGTTTTTGTTTTAGTTCGTATTTTCAATTCGTTATTTATATTTAAAATGTTTCGAGGTTTTAATTCAAATTCATCTGAAGATAAACATTCATTAGCTTCATCATCTTCATTCACTAACGGAGCATATTCCATTCAAAATCATTAAGTTGGAAATTCATTGAAAATATATTATTATTATTTCGACTACGTTTTTATTCGAGATTGATGAGGAGAAAATAATAAATACTAGAACAAAAAAAAAAAGGAGAAAATAGAAACAAAATATTTGATGTGGATGAAATGCTATGTCGCCAGATTGTTGTAGACAGACATCAAATAAAAGATAAATAATAATCGGGCGATAAATTTTGTCGAATCACCATGTTTTAATAAGCCTCTTCTATTGATGTCGCTAGTAGAATTTAGATGTCGATCTTTATCGTTCTTTTTATTTATGCTATTTTATTTGTCAAATAGTTCTTGTTCTCGTCTTTTTTTTTATGTATGTATTTAAAATGCTTCATGACTAGAATGATTAATTATTTACTTTTATGATAAAACATTAACTTAATTGAATCATATTTATGGTTGATATAAATTATTATGATTTGTTCTTTTTACATTTGAATTGATATTGTCTTAGACAAGGTTATGTAGTACAGTCTTATATATATGGATATTTTCAAATAGAAAAAGAAATCATTTCAAACCTATGAAAATAATACTTTCAACTGATTGCTTAAAAATGATTCATTGGATATTAACCTGTTGATGTCTTAATATTATAGTACGATTAAAATTCGATAGGAAATATCAATACAATGAGTAAAGTGAAAAATAAAGAAAAAAAGGCGTAAGGCTTTTTACTATAATCTCAGTCAACAGTATAAAAAGAAAAATGGCGTGTTTAGTAGAAGAAAATGATAATTACATATTATGACTCCATTGAGATAAGGACCTTGATATGGGATAAGAAGAACATATAAATTGATTTTTTTTCTTATTCAGCATGCGCCTCTATTATTCTGCAGTTGTCCAAACGCATTTAGACACATCGATACATCTTCATTATTTTTTCTATAATAAATCATGAAACAATTATACAGATCAAAGCATTGTCTATCTTTAGTAGTTTCAATTTTGCTTTTATGGCAAACATCGATATATATATATTTCAGTCTGACAATAATATAATTTTCTTCTTGTCGGCACTATTTGTACACTTTAACACATGTTGGACTATTTTTGCTCCATTCATGGAAACTATTTATTTGGAGTAATAAAGTATCAAAACGAGACGGTGACCGAACATTATATAAAGCCTTCAATAAGCTAGAGTCGAAAAAAGACTCAAACTTGTTTTCATCGTTTCATGAATAAAATATATGAGTTTGAAACTGATGTCTTTTTTAAAAAAAGTGAAAACCCTTCTTTTTTCTACTTTATTTATTTACATAGAATGATTATTCTACCATTGGTGAGGTTGATATATATATATATACTACTACGGGCATAATCTATATACAGAGTGCTTTATTCTACAAATTCATGATTACAGATGTGACCGTATCATTTTTCATGACAACTTAGGACATTTTCAACGCATTCATTGTGAGTAACATGAAAAATGATTGTATTTTCGATATAAACATTTATAAAAACATGAAAACTCTATTAGAACTAATAGCCAATCAAAACACATTCCATAATCATTTTAAATAACTTTTTATCAATAAAAGATAGAAACGTACAGCTTCTATATTGATCTTCCTTCTGAATGAAACCTTAACAATGAGAATGGATAGATTTTGGATCAGAATCAAACCAATGGTTTTCATATTATAAAAAAAAAATAAAGAATAACAATTCTGACAACCATCTTGGAAATGAAAAACCTGATTTTAATCCGAAAAATTCATCTTTGCAAATATCTGATCATATATTATCTCCTAACAGAAGTCGTTTAAAAAAAATAACCCCAGGATTAGTAGGTTTCTAGCTTCATACAAATAAAATAGCAATATAACTGCAAAAAGTCATAAAAAAATCAAATTAACAATAAGTTCAATTTTTATGTCATTAAAGATGAATAGATCATCTTTGACCCATTTTGTAACCTCACAGTGGAATAATTTCGCACTAATATCGATATAATAATTAATTAGCATCGATTTAAACTGTATCCTATGGTTAATCTAAAATCAACTCTACTGGATGAGTGTCACGACATAAAGGATTAGTTAAGAGTATGTCTCATTAAATAAATAAAACCATAAAAGAACTAAATTATGAAAATCAATTTGAATTCTAGTTTTTCAATTAATGAAATTTCATTCAGATTAATAAAATTCTAAATATTTTTATATAGTTTTTTTTTCTTAATTAGAAAGTAATGATGATGTAATTTCAGCAAAATGAGAAAAAGAGACAGAGACAAACGCAAAAAGCGAAACAACGAATACACCCATACATGAGCATTAAGTGAGAAAGAAAGATTCAAGAAACAAAAATAATGTAAAAAAAGAGAAGAGAGAGAGAAAGTGTAACGACAGTAAGATAGACCAAAATCACCATTAAACAGCACACACAACAACAAACAAACAACGATAGTAGGAAAAGAAAACGTTCGCTTAATTTTGTTCTTAACTTTATGTTTTTTAATGTTTCAAATCTACTGAGAAATAAATGGGGTTAAAGAACAACTATGTAAAATTCAATATGTATAATGTATGTATATATATATATGTATGCGCAAAAAAAAGAAAAACATAAGCAAAGAAAAAAAAAAAAAAGAAAAGATCTGAGCACAGCAACATTATTATGATGGTAAGTTATGGAAGAAATAACAAGTTTAATATTTAAATAGAAAATCATCTCATAGAACGAGAGATCAATATTGACTAGGATATATATATATGATGTAATGTTATTTTTTCTCGGGTGGGATTATAATTGTTTGTTTGTCTTACAATTCGAAAATCATTCTCTATTTATTTTCTTTTCATTGAAAAGAATCCACCTGATTTTTTCTTTCCACTTGTTGCTTGTTGAGTTGAAGTTGATTCAACTGATGTACTAGTTTGTAATGGTAATGTTCGAGATTTTTGTTCTGTACTTGTTGGTGCTTGAATTATTTCTACACCTAAATTAAAATATTTTTTTTTTGTCCAATAAAATTTATATCTTTTTTTTAAATACCTGATGAACTTGTTGTCATAACTGGTTGTTGTTGTTGTTGTTGTTGATGTTTAGGAGAACTTGATGATGATGATGATGAAGTAATAGCTGGTGGCGGTGATGTTAATGCAATTGATGGCATTTGTGTTGTTGTTGTGGCTGTTGTGCTAGGTATTGTTGTTATAGAAGCTATACAATTATTAATTGATGTTATCCATTCATTCATTTCAACAGCGTCTTTTGCATGAAATAAATATTCATTACCACCATTAAGTTTTAAACGAAATACATTTGGTTTTTTAAGATAATCAGTAGCTTGTGATACATTTGTTGATAAATCAAAAATAAGATCATCACTAACTGTTCGACCTGTTTTTAAATGTTTGGGATCTTTATAAAATGATAAACGATTACTTGTTAATGCACAATAAAATTTTTCCCATGCACGATGTGTTGCTTTACGTTCATGTCCTTCCCATTCATGTTTACGTGATAAGAAACCTTCTTTTATTGTTGGTAAACGTGTTGATGATTCCGAACGTCGTTGTTTACCACTTAACGATTCATATTCTTGACTAGAACGTTGTTTACCTGGTAACGTTGTTGGACGACCACTACTATCTGTTATTGTTTTTTCTTCAATTATTGTTGATTTAATTTTTGTTGATTTATCTGGTGATGCGGATGGTCGTTCTGCATCACGTTCTTCCCATGTTTTAAATTCTTCTAAATAAATTGGTAAACGACTTTGACGTGGTTCAATTGGTGGCATTTGTCGTTTTTTTTCTAATGTTGTTAAATTACGTAAGGCATTAAAACGATCTTCTTGTGCCATGAGAGATTTTTCAAATTGTTCATGACGTTTTATTAAATTTTCAACTTGATCTAATGTTTCACCAAGTTCTTCATTAGTTAAATATGATTCTTGAGCAATCAACCATGTTTCAGCTATAGATGCATCACGAGCAAATTGATAAACTTCTAAAATAACTTGTAAATATTCCCAACGTTCATGCCATGTATCTTCAAGACGATCACGTAACATTGATAATTGTACACATTTTTCTTTTACTTCAGATGAACGTGCATGGCGACGATTAATTAAATCTTTGCCTAAAACGATTTAAATGAAAATAAGAGAAATCTTTTTTTTTCTGATTAGAAACGAATAGATTTATAGCGATAAATGGTAAGATCAGTTGGAAGTTTTATGAAGAAAAATATGTTCTTGGATAGAATAAGTGGATTTGTATATTCAAAAATGTTTACTCATTATTTTCATGATTATTTTTAATAAATAGAATTTTTCCTTCATACAAAATAATCGATATCATATCAGTCTGTCTCAATAACAAAAGATGTTCGTACAGCCGCTGTAGCATTAAAATTTGAAACATGATAGAACTGATTCTATTGTAAATCGTGGGATTTAGTACCATATGTTTCAGTTTTTAAATTATTAAATACTAAAAAAAAGGACGGAGCGAAAGTTTTATGACGAAATATTCTTTCATTGTTCGATCGATTGAGATGGTCAGCAGAAGTTATAAAATATTGGTTTAAAATCAGAAATTTGTGTTCTTTTCGAATCTAGCTTGCATAATTTTTATTAGATTTATATTTTGTTGGAGTTATGAGTAAAGTTTTGAAAAGACAATTTGAACGAAAACAGTTGCAACTAAAAGACTCATAGACAGAGAATGCAATCATCGTCTTCCTTTTGAGATAATTTTCATTATAGCTTTCACTAATTTCGCATTTCTGGTGTACAAATAACGATTTAAAAAAAAACATGATTTCCTTTCGTTTGATCGCATCACGTTAGAAATAGTTTCTAGATCAGTATCTTGACAACAGATGTTCTTTTCAATACATGATGTTCACTTTTGCATATATTTTAATAGCAACTTTTTGTACAGCATGACAACCGAGATCGTACTCTACAAAGTGAGATTAAGAATCAAAGTACATGAAACAATCTTCGAGACGTAACTGAGTGTATTTTGTAAGTTCGAAAAACAAGAAATCACGAAAATATCACTATGTCTCTTTTCAAAACTTTCCGCACATTGTTTTTTTGCTCTGTGAAAGATGTCAAAACTTAGTTTCAGGCTTTTCATAGATTCTAATCTTAAAACAAACACTTGGTAGCTCCTATTGATCATCTTAATCGGTCGAAAAATGAAGGAATATTTTAGAGTTGAGATCAGTTCATAGTAACCCAAATCAAGTACGAGAGATGCCAAAGAGTTCTAATTTCTATTCGTTTAGTTAAATATTTCCTTTTATATTATGTGTCTGTAAAACTAAAACATACCTAAATTAATACACATAGTAAAATTTTCTTGTCGAGCATCGATTTCAGCTTTTAAACTTTGATGATTATTCATTAATAAATCCACACCACTAACATCTCGTGGTTTTAAACTATTATTCATTTGTCTAATCATTCCATCCATCCACATATGTAAATCTCTAGTTAAATTAAAAAATCTATGTAAATCTTCATAATCATTTAATAAACGTTTTCGTTGATCAACAAATTGTTGTAATAATTTCCATTGTGTTAAAACATCAATTTCTTTTTGTTTTATTTCTGTTTCTTTTTCACCAGCATAACGTCCATTTAAACGTTTAGATTCTTGTTGTATACGTTGTATATCTTGTGCTAATAAAACTAATTCAGTTTCAAATTGTTGATGTTTACGTAATAATTGTTGTACACTTTGTTGATCTCGACCAATTTCATCAGGTATAGCATTTTTACGTTCTTGCATAGCTAATAAAATTTCTTTACAATCATGTAAAAATTTATGTAATTCCCATGATGCTTTTAATGATTGTAAACGTGTTTCAATCATTTCTAATAAATCTTGATATGATTCATTTAATGTATCTTTTAATTCAGCTATTTGTGCTGAATCAACATGTCCATTAACAATTAAAAGATCAATCATTTCATTAGCATGTTGTAAACGTTCATTACCAATTTGTTCTGTTTCTTGTGCAAATGCAGCAAAACGATCAAGTAACATTGATACATGTTCAAAATCTTGTCCAAGTTCATGTGAACCAGCAATTAATTCTCTATCTGATATCCATTGTTCAAGATCATCAATTTCTCTATGTAAACGATAAAGTTTTAATGTTTCTTCTAAACGTTGTCGTCTTTCAACAGATAAATCTTTCAAACTAGCATATAATTTATCTAATTGTGTTTGTCGTTTATTAATTAAATCATGATGTTCATTTATTAAATCACGTGATAAATTTGATTGTTCTAAATCTTGTATTAAATTTTTAGCTTTATCACCTAATTCACGTAAAATATCACTATAATTTTCAATTGTTTGTTCCATTGTTTGTTGTTTACGTATAAATGTTTGTGTTGATAATTCATCTTTACCACGTTCTTCACTCATCATATATAATTCTTGTTCACCTAACCATGCTTCAGCTTCACTTAAATCATAATAATATTGATAAATATTTTCTAATAATTCAATATTTATACGACGTTGTTTAATTGTTTCTTTTAATTGTATATAATTATCTGATAATTGTTGTAAACGTTCATGAAATTCTTCTTCACGTGTTGGATAATCTTGACTTATACGTTGACATTCTTTATGTAAATGTTCTAATAAACGTTGTTCATGATTTTCAATTTCTTTTAATAATGATTCATTTTTTCGTTTTAATAATTGTATATTCATTAATGTTTGTTGTTTATTATTAAATATTAATTCAGAATATGTTTGTAATAAATGACGTTTTTCACTTAACCATATTTGTTCATCTTCAATATCACGTATAAATTGATGTAAACGTTTTTGTTGTTCTAAACGTAATTTTTTTTGTTCTAATGGTAATAATAATTTTGAAAATTTTTCTTCAACTTGTAAACGTTTAGTATCAATTTCTTCGGATTTTTCAGGTTCTAATTGTTTTAATTTTTCAGCTTGTATACGTAATTCATCAACTTGTTGTTGACGTTTTAATAATTCTTCTTCAATGGTTGTTTGTTTAAGTAATAAAAGATTTGTTGCTGTTAAATTATTTTCTAATGGTTCAATTGTTGTTGTTGATAATACTTGTCCATCAGTTAAATCAGTTGGTGTTGGTTCACCAGCATATAAATGTTTTTCAATATTAAACATAAATTCATCAAGATTTGTTATAGATTGTTGAAATAATTTTGAACGATTAGCATCAAATAAACGTTCACCTTTATCACGTGTTATTTCTTCTAATTTTGACCATATATCATCTAATTCATTAATACGTTGATCAATTATATTGAAATCAATTTGTTGTGGATGTTCTTCTTGTAATTGTTCAGCATGACGTTTTAATGCTAATAAACGTTCTTTATTTGATGTTATTTCAGCTTGAAATGCTTGATGACGAAGGTATTTTGTATGAATATTTGCTGTATCGCGATATGTATCATCTTGAGCTTGTAACGATTTCATATCAAGCCATTCTTTAAGATCATCACAATCTTGTACAAATTGAAAATATTTGAGAGATTCATGCAATTTATCTTGCATTTCAAGTGCAGTTTGACGATTAGCAGCATAACGATCATTGATTACTGAAGCACGAGATAAAATACGATCGCCTAGAAAATTTAAAAAAATGAATTAATAAACATTCATTGAATCCGAATTTCATGATTCAGGTTCGGTATGAAAAAATAGTAGGTTTTTTCTTCTAAAGCTTCTATTATAACACACAAATAGAAGCGTAAGCCGGAGGATCAAACGGCGGCGGCGAACAAAAATTTTCAATTTTTGAGAATTTCCAGCGGCTACCGATTTGATTTTGTAGGCTCTTCAGCGGCGGCGCCGGCTAATATTTATAAGTTGTTCTGCGGCGGCGACAGCGGCGGCTGCTGCTAAGTTTAAAATTGAAGTATTCTTTCGAGAATAAGAAATTCCTGTTTAGTTCAATTCCTGTAGTTAGAAATTCGACTGATAAAAAATAACAGAAAAATATTCGATCGCATGTGTATGAATGTCAGTGGCGACGGTTCATACTATCATAAATTTTTTATTCGTGGTGACAGTGAAGCAGCTAAACTTGCTTTTTCATAGTGGCGACTGCTGCAAAATTCTAAAAATTATTTATGACTCGGTGACTGCGATGGCTTATTTTCCAGAAAAGTCGTCGTCGCCGCCGACTCAATCGTACGGATTACACCTCTACACACAATTTGCTATAATGTGTGTAAACAAAACATTCAAGAAAGAACGTCAGAATAGATGGTGTCTATGGATTCGATCGAGATTAGACGAAACTTTAAAAATTTGGATTTATTAGAAAATGGAAAAATAGAGAGATTGAAGACGTGGAAAAGTTAATTGTTGAAAATGAAATTGTTTTAATAATATTACTGATAATAAGAATTTTATTAAAAATCTTAATTCTATTTTTCCTCTATTGTGTATATATATATATATATATAGGTCTTTTCTTTATTCACACATATTCATTTATACGCACATTTACCCTGAACATTTTTGTCTTCTACCTTTTTCGTCAATTCTGGAGATTCAAGTTTGGTTCATGCCTAATATATTTAAACATTACTGTTGAAATCAATGAATTGATTACAATCAAATTTTTTTTGAAGTACTAACTATATCATTATTGTGTTTAGACGATGAAAACTTGAAAATCGAGTATTATCGATTTGTATTTGATCTTTAACAAACAATGATTATAAAAAAAAACAAGATTAGTTGAAATAGAAGTTAGATTTCAGTTTGAAACTTTATATAAAATTCATCTTCTATTGTACTAAGATATTTTTTGTCAGTGTGATAACATAAAAAATGACAGTAATTAGTCTAAACTTTTTCCTATAATTAAAATATTTTCCTTCGCATAACAAATGCTTCAGACATTTACTATTTCAAAATCTATACTTTATTTAACCAATGAATCAGTTTATTTTCAAGCTATTACTGTTCTAATTTTGATAGGAATTATTATGTCTATCAGAGACGAATGTACTGAGAAATGTCGAAAAGAAAAATGTCGAAAGGAAAAATGTCGAAAGCAAAATGTCGAAAGTAAAAATGTCGAAAAGTAAAAATGTCGAAAGGAAAAATGTCGAAAAGTTAAAATGTCGAAATGAAAAATGTCGAAA